CAAATAGAACTACATTGTTAACAGATTGTTGAGGAACTGTGAGGCTACTATTCTCCAAACACGAGTTTATCCAACATCAAAATACAAGAAAACCAATGGTATCAATGGAAGTGAACATTGAGCGTTGATTCATTGGCCTTGGTCGCCATTGGTGGGCAACTCGAAGGCGCGAATGGTTCAATCGTGTACAAGTTGGTAGAAGACGAAAGAATACGAATAAAAATTATGTACTAACTTCGAGTTTAATTGCCAAATAATAAAACTTCCTTCTTACAACAACTGGTGTTTTGGAGTAAAAGTAGAGAATCAGTCGTAGTAATTATCGGTTCGAATCGTCTTCGTAACAATGGGAACTTAGGATTAAGTTCCTTGACAAATGGCTAACAGGTAACAAAAATATACATGCAAACAAAAAAGCATACAGAGGGAAGAACCACAGATGGTCTATTTAACAAAAAATGGTATTTAAAATGCATTAATATCAGTAAAAAGTTTGAGCATTGTGGATTAGATCAAATAAAGTATAATTATATTTTAATAGTTTACACACAATGATAAGTTTTGTTATTGCATCTCTAATATTTAGAGGTGCAATTTTAGTCATAACAATAAATGTGAATTCATTTTTTAATTTTATTAAGTTCACTAATTATTCGTTGTTTAGTCTTTCTAGAAATTGCCAACAAGTTAAGGGTTCAGAACGTTTACCTCTTTTCTAACCTTAATAGTCTTCACATTAGTATCGGGACTGTTGATCAACATTTCTGGAAGCTTTTCTGTTACTAATTATGGGGAATCGTCGCCTAGATAGGCCGGTTTTAGCCTGTCAGTACTAACAATGTCTGTCACATTATCTCGTTGAATAACAAAGTATTTCGGATGCATCGCTGTGACTTTGAACGGTCCTCAGTGTGCTGGACTGCTCTTGGTTGTTGTTGTGAGGGAATCGGTCTTAGGTCACCCAATTGTAGACATAGACTATCAAAATATATGGCCTGGTCAAGATGTTCTAACGAGCAGTAGAACTATTAAAATCTCCAGTTAATCTCAGTGTGCCTCCAAATACCATTTCGGCAGCTGAACGTTGAACATGAAGAGGCTAGGTGTATTGGACTATGGACGCTTTGTTCTATTTCCTGTGACAAGTGCTATAATATGGTGAGTAATGTTGAAGTTAGGCGTAGAGTGTTAGGTAACGGCGGGAAGTCAATCGACTAAGTTGTGAAGTCACATCTAATGACATGGCTAGAACACATGTTACGTAAGCCAAGAGTTAAGAGTGGGCAAATCAAAACACGACATCAGTCCACGAAGTCTTCGATTATTACTTTGCACCACCACATAGGGAAGTGTAGACTAAAAGGCTGGGATCCTAGGGGATGCTAAGTACCAATGAGTGGAAACTGTTGGTGATTTGGCTCAGAATCGTTCCTAGTGATGTAGATGAATTCGGTCACCTTGATCTTCCAGACCTATTAAATTCTTATTATTCTACTTCCTTCTCCTATGCATTTCCGTTCATTTTGTCTCTTTTTACTCTACATTTTGATGGCTTATTTGATGTGCCAACTCGATTGGTGCACCCAGTTAGCTATCAGTGAATTTAGCATATAAAATTTTCTAAAGACAGGATATGAAAGAAACTGTCCCTGAAGTCCCATCCAAATATATTCATATGCGTGTATGTGAATATTAAAGTGGAATCAATAAATGCATTTTTTTACAGTTTTGCTGAGAATCATATAAATTCCACTTACTTTACAATCACATAACAGCACTTTTCTGTTCTAAATGAACAAGAAAACTCAACAAAAGACGTGTAATCTAATAACAGCAGTTACTAGTCACTTAAAAATATGAGTCAATAAGTAAATTCCCCAGTGATATGTACAAGAGAAACATGTAAGAGTGATAATAGTGAATTTATTACTAAAAGTAGAAGCAAACGAGTAGAAATGAGCTTAAGATCATGATACAATAAGAGTCTGAGAAAACCTTTTTGTGTAATATTGGCAACATGAAGTGTACATTTTCCAAACGCATCTTTGAACATTATCTGACATGGTAATCAAGAATACACAACAAGACAATTACTAGCTCGATTATCGAGCACCTGGTGAACTAAGGACATGAGGCTTCACCAGATTCATCTCTTAAAATTATCTACAAGATAAGATCAAGTGGTACAGGAGGTGCTATATTTCGGCAGTTGTATACGCTGGAGGCGTTACTGATTTTTCGATATAACCCCAAACTTTGTGTGTGGAAAAGGCTTGTCCAATTTCTTATTCCAATGTGGTATTAAGTTCTTTACCACTTGTTCGCTTCTAATTTAGTCATGAACTTACTATTATCACTTTCACACGTTTCTTTTGTACATTTCACCAAGTTTTTTTAATCTTTACACTTCGTAAGTGGACTCTCATCCACGTTGCTTCTCATCGTAAAATAAATTTCTCTCAGTACTACTGATTGCCTCCAACTATCTAATATCATCAAATCAATGTGCACCATGATGGCGAACTACCTAAAATGGTGGCCACATTGCAAACCAGACTGACAGAATTCAGTCTGCACCAAAGAAACGACTAGACATGTCACCCTATTTACTAGTGTCCAATCCAAGGACAAGTAAAGGCCTAAATACTTTCCGAGAATTAACTCTGACAAACTTTTTATTTCAAGTTTGGTCACGGAATGATATTAGTTAGAGAGCCATTGAAAACCACCACCAGAGGGTAATGCGTAGCTGTTTCGTCGCATCTGCCAATTCATTGGCAGTAGTCACCCTCGACTCCATCAGGGATCGGCCCCGGGACCTTCAAGTTACGAGACTAAGTTTGTTAACCATTTTAACTGCTTAGGTTGGAATTCAATGACCCGTGAATTCTAACTTCTGTCAATTCGCTTCTTATTCATGAAGGAAACTAAAGACAGAAGGATGGAACTCACTTTATTAGGACCTATTCCAGCAGAACATTTGAAACCTGTCTTTTTGAAAATAGCTTGACGAATATTGTAAACTAGTCCAGAAGCAACAGCTAATCGCCTTCCTTCAGCAAAGTTAGAGTCTAATAACTGTATCCAATCGACACCATTAAGTGGGAGACAATTAGTTCCGGTAAGCTCTAAATTTGACTGCTCAGCAATATCACTGTTCGCCACTACAAATGATTCTGAATTTGGTTTCAGTGATGATACATCCTCATCTCGAGTTAAGGTTGAATCTACAATATCTATTAAAGTTTGATAAATATCACATTATTATTTTACCAGTAAGGTCGACATACGCTTCGTCAATACTAGCTCTTTCGATATCTTTTGTGAATTCAGATATGCACTGAATAACTTCCGATCCAGCGACACGGTATCTGTAAGAAGGAAAAAGTGTTTACGCTAAATAACAATGCAATTACTAACTTTGTAAGTTCTGCTTTACCTCGCTTTTCTGGAACCTTGAACATAATAGTATCTGGATACTGTGCACGAATTACATCCCCAAACATTCCACGCTTGATGCCTAAAGCTCTTGCTTCATAACTAACTGCAAGGGCTCTAGAAGTAGGAATTAAATGTTGAGAAGAAAGAATAAAAGATGACTAACCCTCCACCTTTCCATTCATTATACTGAACAACAACACATGGTTTTCCTATAGTTTCTGGGTTTTCACGCTGTTCAACTTGAACGTAGAAACAATCCATGTCAAGTAACATCACAATCCTATTTGTCCCCATTTTTAAATATTCACCCTAAAAAAGAAATTAATACAAGAAATTCAATAATAAAAACAGAGAATCAGAGATACTTAAAATGGACATTAAGTACTCTACCTTGAAGAGTGAATAAATTACACATTAAATTCACAAGTTACTTAGTAAAAACTATAACAAAACTATGATTTTAATATGTTCATTTTTGAAAGCTCTACAGTTTCAATAATATTAAATTTTCCTTTTGAAAACGCTATATGTAAACTGAGATGTAACCTGTTAGCTTTAAAACTCCAATTTCAATCGACAAGTTATGGGCTTGAGACCTGTTCTATCTGCTTTAACCTGTGCAACTGAATATTATAGTCAACCCTCACAAAAAAGTGTAAATCATAGTCTGGTCTATGAGTTTTTTCCAGATAACTGAGTTTCAATTCTAACTGTTTGTATAACAGTGAAAGAAGATATTATGATTATACAAACGATTTGTAAGTACAATGCAGATACAAAGTAGGTTGAAGAAAGTCATGAAAGCAAAACCGATATTAAGTTAGTTAAAGAATAATGAGTTCAGACGAAATGTACATAATGAATCTTAATCAGGAAGTAGTCAAATTTTAGAAAACAAAGCAAAATAAACTTGAGTAATTGAGTAAGATCTGACTCGACTTTGGTAAGACTTGTAAACCGCTTAAGTTTATCATGTTAATACAAGGATAATGAAAGAGTAATTCCATTATGGGTAATGGAATTACACTCTACCACAGTGCACAAGCTTTATTCTCATATCAATGATAATGAAAGAGATTGGACGAACTTTTCGGATTTATATTCATGGCTTCGAATTATGTACTGGTAAGGTCTCCGTTATAACAGAAACAGGAAAAAGCCTTTGAGAGGGTTTTTTGGATTTCATAATTAGTACCGAAATAGATACCCAAAGCCGACAACAGCTTCACCAACAATTCACCAGTCTATTGGCTTACGCGTCCCTGCTCGTCTCAACATTATTTACTTGTAAAGTGTATAGGCACTTTCCATTCATTATTCAATAGCCACTTATACGGAAACTGCAAAATTACTAAGTAGGTTTGCTCAATTACACAAATTTAAATGTGTAACATGCTATAGTATGCAATATATTGCATACACAACGACACAATTTCATTGTTGGTTTGGGCGATACAAGTATTGCCTTCGTCTTTCAATTGCAAGAAGAGACATAAAAAATAGAAACAATATACCTGGTAAATTCAATACTGAGGAAAACAATGTTCTTTTCTGCTTACCCAGTAACTGTGCACAACGAATTCCTTGTTGCAATGACGGTGGATTTGATATTGACAGGAATAAGTAAAAGAAAGCGAACACTAACACCCCAGGGTTTTAGACTCAAATCGTCACTAACACTGTGATATTTTCACTTCGCTTACATCGCTATGTAACACGATACGCATAAACACGGTTTTCATTAAAATTGAAAACTACAACAAGGACTAATTTCAAAACGCCTGCCTATTGGAGTTATCCTTCAAACATCCAATGTTTCAATGCCACTTCAGACAAACTAATAACAACCCTCTGGTTTCTTGGCGCCCATATATTGATTTTACTATGCTGCTGTAGACCCACAACGAACTCCATTATAATTTTTCTCATCTGTTTACTGCTCTGTTGCACACGAGTATGGAGTACATTGACTTATTAGAATTCATATTGATATGCTAAAGGATAATGGGCCATTGTGGTTCGCGATTACTCTTATGCACATTTAATTTCCATTTAAAACTGTTCACAGATGGGATCTATACAACTTCGTGGGGCGAGAGTTTTATCCAACTGACCGCCATATGTAATAATCTAAAAAACACTAGTCTTTTGTTCGACCGCTGTTTGAGTTATTTTTGGCGATTACCTTTTAGAGGTATTCCAAAATGTGGGAATATGTTCAAAAAGTCAGTACCCGAACCATTCCTTAATGTACAATAGGCCAAAATTAAGTAAGCTCTGTTCTTTCACTATGATGGTAGGAAAAGACTCAGATGCTCCAGCCACTTCCTACAAGAAAGGTACAAAAAACACTGGATAATTTAGAGTCCACCCATTACACCTTTTCAAGACTGATGCCTCTTTGAATGCCTGGCTGCAGTGGTAGAGTCGGTGAGAAGCAGAGGCTGAAGACTGTTGCTGACATGCCCGGAAGTCGCTTTGTATTGCGCGGATGCATTATTTTCTTATGAACGAGAGGACCCATTGAAGCGTCACTATCTGGACTGTAATCACTCATTTTTTGATGGGATTCCGTTTATTGCATTAAATTAATCTGCTGTTCCCTCTTTATTGAGGCATCCTATGTGAAATGTGAGAGTTGAACGGGTGGCGTTTCGTGAGAATTTCTGCACAGAACAGGCTATCAGATTGACAAATTATGTACTTGGCGTCACAATCGAGTGAGATGCGTTGTGATAAGTGTTGGAGAACCAATTTTTCCTTAATTTGTACTCACTGGTTGTGGAAGAAAAGTTATTTCGTGAAGCCTATTGAACCTAGACCATTTCACTACCAGCGATCAATTCATTTGTACGTGCTGATTGAGACATACGATGGTCAAAGTATTTTCCAGGGGACAAGAGCTCAGAGGTGGCGTTGTGGTGTGGCTGCCTTTCTCTCTGCTCTCTTCGTATCATTCTCAATAAACCCGCCATTGGGCAGCTGTGAAATTTACATTCGGCCTTCACTAATTATGGCGGTGCTAAGAACAATCTGATCACGAGGTTGAGTGGGCCAGGTTAAAGAGTTAGCTGGTGGTGTGGCTAAAGCCCAGGTCTAACAGGATAGATAAAAACGAAAGTCGAAGAATTATTTCCATTCGAAACCAACTGGAAACGAGATTGCAGTTGTTCAGACAGTGTAACTATGGGGTTTTTTTAGTTGTGACTTGGTGGGTATTGTGTTTTACTTGTCTTACCACTTTTCGCATTCTGATCATTTTGTCCCATTTTGTTCAGTGAAACTCGCTGATATTTTAATGTTCATTTTTTATCATGTGTCCCCCGACATGTGGTGTGGGTTGTTCTCGTCTCTCATAATTCTCCGTCTTCATGATGTCCATAATGGCCGCGATGCTGATGCCGAAGTCGTTCGAGTAATCGGTTAGTATTTCTAGCTGATTTTTCTCGTTTGTGCTGATTTGGCCATGTGTGTGCCTGGTTAATTCTACTTGGCAGTCACTCCCATTATCTCGTGCCTTGACATATATTATCACTTTAATTTACACCCAATTGCTGTCTTTCGTCACAGAGTAAATTTATCTGAAAAAGTCTCACGGTGCTATGAATTATCATTTACTGATGACGTTTTGGGGAAACTTTTTTCCTCATAATCATATCAAGGTACTCACACAATCTCCAACTTCGTCTTTGTGTATGAGCAATAGTCTGGTTTGGGGTATGGGTGAACAAATAAAGATCAACATAAAGTTCATTAGTCTTACGCGAAATGGATGAAGGAAGACAGAGTGCTTTCAAGAATGCGAATGCAGTTAGATGGGAAATATGACGAGTGCTGTCAGCAAACTAATTTCACATGCTATTGAATTGTAACAACCTGAGTCACTGCGTCTTGTCCTTACATTTTATACTGCTCAATATTCATCTTCAGTAAGCCCTACTATGAAGGACTAGAAGTGCGAGCAGTGACGGTCATAATCAAGTTTACCTATTTTACAACGAAATAATTATGGTTGAGCTCGGTGTGATTTATGCTGACTCAGCTCCTTGCTTCATATAATCGTCCAATGCTAGAGATGTTAAATCTTCAGGCTCTCTGCTTTCAGCTGCACACTAACAACAATCCTGATGAGTCATCCACGATTATCGTCTGTGCGGCTATTTACTGTTCATAAGTTACATGTTTGTGAAACTCTCTCAAGTCATTCCAATGAAAGCATAAGAGCTGATAGTAATGTAATGTTTGTAGATGATAGATACAATTGCAGAACAGAGAGTAACCAAGGGGAGTTTCAACACTGGAGGAAGGATGAGATGATGGCATTTGCTTTAGGATGTATTTGGATGGAAAAGTATATCGAAATTACGGGACACATTGCAGTCATCACACCTTAGTTTTTGATGGCATCAGATGTGTATCTAAGTCATTCAAAACACGAGGCATGAAATTCCGCCGATGGACTGGGAGACGATAAAAATTACAACTTGAAGAGTACCATGTCACCTAGAAGGAAAAGTTGGGAATGAAGTTCAGGAGATGTTAAGGAATGGTATTACTGAACAAACCGACAAGCCATATGTATCTTCAGCGCTCTTAGGGGAAAAGGTTAATGGGAAGTACTCATTTTGTATTGATATCTGGGAGTTGGACAGCATGACAGAACTAAGACATTGTGCCACACCAGTTGTAGTGGAAACCCCACAATACAAACGCTGCAAAAATAACTCTGTGAAGAAGCGGAATCGCAGTCTTCAACCAGAATTCAAAACAAAACCAAATGGTCCCAAATAGAACTACATTGTTAACAGATTGTTGAGGAACTGTGAGGCTACTATTCTCCAAACACGAGTTTATCCAACATCAAAATACAAGAAAACCAATGGTATCAATGGAAGTGAACATTGAGCGTTGATTCATTGGCCTTGGTCGCCATTGGTGGGCAACTCGAAGGCGCGAATGGTTCAATCGTGTACAAGTTGGTAGAAGACGAAAGAATACGAATAAAAATTATGTACTAACTTCGAGTTTAATTGCCAAATAATAAAACTTCCTTCTTACAACAACTGGTGTTTTGGAGTAAAAGTAGAGAATCAGTCGTAGTAATTATCGGTTCGAATCGTCTTCGTAACAATGGGAACTTAGGATTAAGTTCCTTGACAAATGGCTAACAGGTAACAAAAATATACACGCAAACAAAAAAGCATACAGAGGGAAGAACCACAGATGGTCTATTTAACAAAAAATGGTATTTAAAATGCATTAATATCAGTAAAAAGTTTGAGCATTGTGGATTAGATCAAATAAAGTATAATTATATTTTAATAGTTTACACACAATGATAAGTTTTGTTATTGCATCTCTAATATTTAGAGGTGCAATTTTAGTCATAACAATAAATGTGAATTCATTTTTTAATTTTATTAAGTTCACTAATTATTCGTTGTTTAGTCTTTCTAGAAATTGCCAACAAGTTAAGGGTTCAGAACGTTTACCTCTTTTCTAACCTTAATAGTCTTCACATTAGTATCGGGACTGTTGATCAACATTTCTGGAAGCTTTTCTGTTACTAATTATGGGGAATCGTCGCCTAGATAGGCCGGTTTTAGCCTGTCAGTACTAACAATGTCTGTCACATTATCTCGTTGAATAACAAAGTATTTCGGATGCATCGCTGTGACTTTGAACGGTCCTCAGTGTGCTGGACTGCTCTTGGTTGTTGTTGTGAGGGAATCGGTCTTAGGTCACCCAATTGTAGACATAGACTATCAAAATATATGGCCTGGTCAAGATGTTCTAACGAGCAGTAGAACTATTAAAATCTCCAGTTAATCTCAGTGTGCCTCCAAATACCATTTCGGCAGCTGAACGTTGAGCATCAGTTTTCATTGATGTTAGAATAACAACTGGTAGGAATTTTGTCTTGTTAGTGGGGGACATCAATGCAGTCTTCGATTGACGATGAAAGCGCTACATCAACCCGTTAGCTTGAGGCTGATATGCTGCTAAGATTATTGTGTGTGAACCAATGAACTCCGACATGCTGTTGAAAAGTTCTGTCAGTTTATATTGTTTTAGGCATTCTGAACACAGCTACGCATTGTCGAAGAAGGTCTCTTGCTTCCATTTCCACAGTAATATCCGTAGGTGGTACAGCTACTGGGAACCTGCTAAACCCATTGATACATGTGAAGAAGTAAGTGAATTCGTTTGAGTGTGGCAGGAGACCTATCAAGTCCATGTGAACATGGGCGAAATGAGCATCCGACTGTGGGAATTTTCCCAAGGTATGAAAGTGTGTGTCTTCTTGTTTTCACTCTTTGGCATAACATGCACTTTCTTGCGTCGAAGGAATGGCAAAATTTAGGTTCCCGAGATTACTCTAGCTGAATCATTTGGTCCAGTGTGCGGAAACCAGTGAAAATCACTGAATATAGCTTTACTCATAATTTTTGGGAGAAGAACTTAGGGTAGTCTTTCTTTGTGCCACGGTACATAAAGTTGCCATCCCAAGGGGTTGGTATTGTTTGCGTTTGAGACTAAAGTTATTTCCCTTGAGGGTATGCTTTAACTCTCCCCGATTCTCGTGATTTTCTGCCAGTGCTTTGAAGTCTATAGTGGTTCACGTCCACACTGGATAATGCATCAACTACACAGTTCTCCATCCCCTCCGCATGTCTTGTATCACTGGTAAACTGTGGTATAAAATTAGGATGACCAATTTTGCGCGGTGAGCATTTGTCTGTTTCCACGTTGGTTGCGTGAAAGAGAGGCTTGTGATCTGCGTA